TTATTAAAAATTATTTTACAAGTAGCAGGCTGAATATGTAAGAACAAGTCATGTTTCAGTCTTCCTTCTCCTTAATCTCTCCTGCATTTAGTGGTACAGATGTATTTTCTCAAACTTTCTGCTTCACTTCTAAAACTTTGTTTTTTCTTGGTTCTCTTCCAACTGTTAGGCACCTCTTTCTTTGCCTTATTTGGTTCTGTCTCATATATCTCTTCCCTAATTGGGGCTGTATGCCAAGACTGAGTCCTAAGCATACTGCTCTTGCTCTATATACCCTTCACTGGAGAGTCTACCCACTCTCAGTCTCAGCAAATACTTCTCAGTATATGACTTCCAAGATTTACATCCCTGGTTCTTTCTTTGTCTCTGGATAGTATTTTTCAAACTCAACTAGAATATTCTATCTTGTTCCACCTAAAATTCATTTTCTACCTAATTAATTTCCTTGTTTGGGGCCTTCTTATATGTATTCATGGATTTTATGCATTGGTCACCTCATGTAAATCTTAGCGCTCTCTCTCTCTCTCTCTCTCTCTCTCTCTTTCCCCCTCTACTCTAACACTTGGTCACGAAATGTTTTGAAACATCTCTTACATCCATTATTTTCTTTCTAGTCTAATCCTGATACCCTGCTAATCCTTACAGATCTCAACACCTCACACAAGCAGTCTAATTCATAAGTCTAATTAATCTCCTAAATCTGTAGTCTCTAGCTCTAGAAAGAAAGAAAGAAAGAAAGAAAGAAAGAAAGAAAGAAAGAAAGAAACAAAAGAAACAAAAGAAACAAAAAGTACAACCTACACATTTCTGTTGTTATGATGAATTTTCCTAAAGCATTGCTTAAAAAAAAAGAAAGGAGGGGCGCCTCGGTAACACAGTCGGTTGAGCATCCAACTCTTGATTTCGGTTCAGGTCACGATCTCACAATTTGTGAGCCCTGTGTAGGCTCTGCACTGATAGTGTGTAGACTGCTCAGGATTCTCTCTCCTCTCTTTCCCTGCTTCTCCCCAACTTGTGCGCGCTCACAAGCTAAACTCTTTGGTCTGACATTCAAGAGTTTCCAATGTAGCCCTGCTTCCCTCTTGTAAACGTATTTTCTAACACTACATTACAAAAATCATCTAAGCAAATGAGTCTACTTTTAAAATGAGCTACAGAAGTACATAAACATTCATGAGTTTTTCTGGAAGCTTTGCTGTTTAATGTAATTAACCAACGCTATATGTGGACAAGACAGAAATAATCAATTAACAGCAGACTGGAAATGTTAAAGCAGAACTTGGGCAAGAGCCAACACTTAACAGATCAGGGGCCATGACATTCTAGAAAAGGCAAAACTATGGAAACAGTAATCAGTGGTTGCTGGAAAGGAGGGAAGGAGTGATGAAGAGGCAGAGCACAGAGGATTTTCAGGGCAGTGAAACTATACTCAATGATACTATAATGGTAGATACTAGACATAGATTTGTCCAAGCCCACAGAATATACAACAGCAAGAGCAAATCCTAATGTAAAACTACAGACTTTTGGTGATAATATGTCAATTTACATCAACTGCAATAAACATATCACTGTGGTGCTAGTGCAGGAGACTGTGCATGTGTGAGGGCAGAGGAGATAACAGAAATCTCTGTACTTTCTCTTCAATTTGCTATGAACCTAAAGCTGCTCTAAAAAATAATGTTTATTAATTAAAATACATACATACTTCAAAAACTGCTCACCTAAAAATATTTAATACCTGTCCTCAAGATAAATTCCAATGTAGTTCTTCTACAAACCATTTATGAGCAAGAAAGTATAACTTAATTTCTGGGATATGTTCTTTCATTTTTATTTATTTTTAAATATTTATTTATTTATTTATTTGTTTAGAGAGTGTGCCTGCAGGTGTGCAGGGGAGGGTGAGAGTGAGAGCTAGAGTGAAAGAGAGAGAGAGAGAGAGAGAGAGAGAGAGAGAGAGAGAGGAAGAACACGTGAGCACGCAGGGGAGGGGCAGAGAGAGGGAGAGACAGAATCCCAAGCAGGCTCCATGCTTGTCCGCACAGAGCCCCATGTGGGGCTCAATACCATGAACCACGAGATCACGACCTGAGCTGAAATCAAGAGTTGGATGTTTAAGCAACTGAGCCACCCATGTGCCCCAAGTTCCATCTTTTAAAAGCAATATATATCTACACTGGAATTTAAAAAATGCATTTATTTTCAGATTCTTGGTGCTTTGGCCAGCACCAGAATCATCTTCTTTTTAAAAAAATATTTATTTATTTTGGGGGAGGGCAAGTGGAGGAGGGACAGAGAGGGGGGGACAGAGGATCCGAAGTGGGATCTGCTCTGACAGGCTGACAGCAGCAAGCCCGATGTGGGGCTTGACCTCATGAACCACAAGCTCATGACCTGAGTGGAAGTCAGATGCTCAACCAACTAAGCCACCCAGATGCCCCCAGAATCTTCTTGATACATTAACATTTCAGTTTTGACACAGAACAAGCAGGATTAAGATCAATGCTTAAAGAAACCCATTCATTGCCAGGTAATGTTTATAGTACACAAGAACAACCATATAACTAGATTATGTAAATCTGAAAATTATTGTTAAAAATAATTTGGAGCTAGAAGGAAGGAAAGAATATTTAGTTTACCTCCATCCACTTGAGTTCTACTGCAAAAATACAAACTCCTTATTTGTAATAATGATCTCTGTATTTTTGCTTCTGATTGTATTTCTAGTATCTTCTGCTACCTCCCACCAAACAGGTTCAGCAGTACAGAAACTCACCATTTCTTATTAATTTGCTAAGTCCTTCATAACTCTGTCTCAACATACATTCCTCCCATCTGGAATTCACCAGAACCTGTCCACACTTAAGCAAACTTCTACTCATCTTTTATCACACTGTTTAAATCATAATAACTCAGAAAACAATTTAAGAAAAGTTTGAAAACAAAACTCTGTGGGATAATTCTAAGCAGAAAAAGAACTGCAAAGAAATCTTGAACTTTTATCGCTTCTCGGCCTTTTGGCTAAGATCAAGTGTAGAAATCTTGAACTTTAGTAGGTAGTTGTCATGTTATTGGTGTAGTAATTATATTTTGTACATCAAAGAATACAGTATATGAATAAATATGACTGACACTGGGAACCAGGGTTTTACTGTGGGAGAAGGAAGATATGGACTAAAGGAAGATAAGGAAAAACGCTGTAGTGCTGGATTTGAACCGGAGGTTATCAATATGATACACACACACACACACACACACACACACACACACACACACACACAAAGGTACTACCTGGTTCTGTCCACTAAAATGACCAATCCACAATAGTAAACAATAGTGATGAATACATTTATACCTAGACTTTGGTTTTTAAATTCTGCTCTTAACTAAAAAAGCAGTGTGAAAAAATGGCTGATTCCAGGTCTGACACAAGAAAGGTACAAAGTAAGCCTGGGAATCTTGTATGATTAAGAATGTGTTCAATGACTAAGGAGTCACGTCAAAGGACATAAGAATCAGCCACTGCTCAACTTAGAGCCAATTTTAGCATCAAAAGAAATACTGATGTACTTCACACAGAGAATAAAAAAGAATGCCAGATAACAAATACAGAAGAAATGTAAGAATTTTTTTAAAAATTACCCTTTCTTTGTAGACCTTGATGTAATAAATGATATAGGTTTGGATCACTATTAGATGCTAAGAACAGTGGATGAAAGGTTTTTAGGTTATTTATACAGTCTCAAAGTATCACCTTACAGATCATGTGCTAATTATACAGAAGAAAATAAACCTTACAAGACAGTGATCTGGTTATCACTACATTAACCAAGTAGTAAAATTTAGCTCACCAGTAGTGACACAACTTGATATTATATGTATCATGTGATATAATGTGAACTTTACAGTATCTCCCATGTAACATTTTTGCTAAAATTGTTTATCTTGAATGTATTCATAAAGAAACAATCAGACAAATTAAGGAATGTAGGAAATTCTACAAAATGACTACTTGAGACTCTTCAAATAAGTCAATGTCAAGAAAAAATAAACAGGTAGACATATTGTTCTAGATAAGAGGTATATTAACCAAGTGAACCTTGATTGGAACCTAGGTGATAAAAGTAAAACAAATACTATAAAACATTTTTTACGGGTTAATTGGAGAAATTTAAACACAGACTATATACTAGATATTACTGAATTACTATTGATTTTTTGAGGTGTGATAATAATATGATAAAGGAAAACGCCATACTTAGAAAATAAATGTAGAAATATTGAGAAATGAAATATCAAGATATCTGCACTTGCTTTCAAATGATTCAGCAAATATGAAGCATATATGAAAAAATGACAACTGACAAATATAGATGAAGTAGATGGGTATTCATTGTACAGTTCTTTTAAGTTATCTGTAGATTTGGAATTTTCAAAATAAAAACTGGAGGAAAAATCAGTTCAGATGTCACAACTTGGAAGACTTCTTGGAACTTCTTGGAGGAATTCTTGGAACTTTTCTAGTGGAATTCTTTTTTCTATTTTCAGTATTCCTACGGATTCTTTATATTTCTCCTTTAGCACTTAACAAATTTGAAATTGCCCATTTACAGGTCTGTCTTTCTACCTAAACTTCAAGGAACCAGCCTCATCTTCATTATTAGAAGTCAGCTCTTTATCTGACAAGTACTAAATACTCAGTGTTTGTGTATGGATGAGATAATTGACATACCAAGTTGACAGGCCCAAACTGAAATCCAAGTATTGTCATTATCATATTGTGCCTCAAATTCAATGAAATCCATCAAGCAGTAAGCTTATTAAATGTTCCTACATGATCTGTACCATTACAATAGATGTCCACATCAGCTTTCAAACCGACTTAAAAAAAACAGCATAACAACCCTCTAGCAGTTTCACCCTTAAGTCATTACAAACCTATTTTCATTTTAAACTCTTTCTAGTTTCAACTCAAGGAAATTAGAAAAGATGCATACCTGTTCTATATCCTTGGGATTGGAGGTCTGGTTTTCTCCCATGACTCCAGACTGCTCATTTTCCCATGGTAATTTATTTTTTCCTTTTCCTGCACTTAATACCCTTCGGGTACATATGGTTGGACTGTAAGATCCATAAATTTGCATGCTGTCCCTTGTGTGGTCACCACAATGACAGTGTGCACTCTGAGTTCTGTTACCAGCCAAAAGCCAATCTGTATCTGCTCCATGTGCCAAATGACTTGACCTACCCTGGGCAGATGATGGCATAAGTATTGCATATTCCACAAATCCCTGTTCTGTTAACCTTGGGAGGGTTTTCCTAGCCAATCTGGCCTGCACAGCATTCATCACTCCATCTCCATTATCTTGCAGTTCAACAGTATCCACAGCTTTGAAAAGGATGCTGGTTTTACCTGAGCCCATTGACGATGCCAACACAGCAAAGGCTTCAAGAGCTGCTTGGCGTACCCTGCGTTTGCTATCTACAAGAGCTGGGGCAAGATCAAAAGACAGTTTGGTTAAGTCAAAATCTTCACTTGGATAAGTCAGGAGGGAGCAGATGCAAATGTTCACTACCTCCTCTCTCACTCTGGAATGCTTATGTTTGAGATGTTCCAGGAGTAAACAAAGCACCTGTTGAGGACCTACTTCCTTCATTAGCTTGAGGAAGATTTTCATGTATTCTTGTTTGATTACCAACTTGTTATCTGCTAGCACTTTGACAGAAGCTGCTATAACTGGTCCCAAGAACTGTTGTACCTGCTCTCCAAGGCGAATAACCAGTAAATGCAGGACCTGAAGTGTGCCATGGACCACTTTGAAGTTTGAATCGTCTAACAAATTATACAACAAGCTAATGAAACCGACAAGACTGGAATGAGGGGTAGAACTAGGGTTAACTCCTCCCATCACCTGTTTTAGTTCCTCAACAGCCTGAGTCCGGTTCTTATAGTCTTCCTGGTCTAACAACCTTGAATGAAGCTCTTGAGGAATAATCCCAAATTTAAGATTGCTGTTGGAAACAGTCACTGCATAGGGGAGAGGATCTTCAGGAAATCCAGAGGCTTCAAGTTCCAAATAATAAGGAACCTGACTTCCAAATTGAGACTCCAGGCGGCGATTGTAGTGTCTCCTCAACGCAGATGGCAGGCGAGAGATATAGGACTGAAATCTCTCTTGGCCAAGTCGTTCCCCAATTTGCTGAAGTGCAGAGAAAGCAGTCTCAGATTCTTCTTCTATCTCCTGATCGCCAAGCTTTCTGGCTAAGGATATTATTACCTCGGTGAGATCTAAGCTGAACAACAAATCCTCAGGAGTAAGCAGGATGGGGAACAGTAATGCTGTGGAAGCTCGAAGTCGGGCGTCGGTACTTTCCAGTCCCTGTTGTATAAGCGTTCTCAGCACCTGTCCAGAACTACGTTTCAGACAGACATGTAGGATTTGTAGCGCATCTTTCCGTAGGGCTGGATTCTCTTCTCTTAAGGAGATAACAAGTTGAGGCAGAAGTGCTAAGCTAAAGGCCTCTTCCAGCTGGCCTGCCTCCCCCTGACCCCGGAGAACGTCCGAGAGGAGCTGCAAGCAGAGTCGCTTCTCATCACTAACTCCTTCCACAAGCACTCGGCCCAAGGCCCGATACAATGCTTCCTTCCGTCGGGGGAAGCCGAGTCGACCGCCCCGCCGCGGCAAAGCAGCCTGCAAAGCCTGGAAGGCCTCGGAAGGATCTGGCGCGGTCCGAAGGAGTTGAAGAAGCCGAGTCTCCTCTTCGTCTCCCCCTGCCAAACCACCTCCAGACCCAGACCAACCACTTGTGATTGCCTCCGCGGGCATCACGAGGGTCGAGGCCAGAGGTGAAGGTGTCGGGGGGCAGGAACCGTGGTCTCCGGCAGCTCCACGGCAGTAGTTTTTCTCGCCTCTCATGGTGCCCCACCTCGACTATCATCAGTCTCTGGGGCGGAAGGACGACTGCAGCTCTGGAGGCGATAGGCACAGTGGGCTGGAAGGTGCGGCAGCAGGAGCAGCGCAGAGGGCACAGCCTCCATGGAGAGTCGTCAGATGGCAAAGGCTGTAGGAAACCATCGTCTTTGAAGGGCTCGATGGAGCCCAGCCTTCCAGGTTTCTCTACAAGCCACAAGCTGTAGAGGAGGGAAAGGAACAGCTTCAGTTAGCTGCCAAGCCGCTCCCAACTCCGGGAGGCTGCCTTCTGCAAAATGGCCCCTGCCTGAGCCCCAGACCCCACAGCAGCCACCGGGCGTATCCAGGGGCACCACGTGACCAAACCGATCGCTTCCATGGTGATATACCCAGCGCGGACCTCTTGACCCGGAACTCAACTTGCCGTGTTGAATGCTGGGTCCTGTAGTCCACGTCGGGTGTTACGAATAGGCAGCAGGATCCTGGAAAAGGAAGTGAGAACATTACGACGGTAGCAAACGTCTGTAGAGCGGAGAAGGCAAAGCAGCGTGAAGGCATTAGACGGAAGTGACGTTCTCGCCCCGAGCGGAAGTTCCCCTCCCCACCGGAAAGAATTGGGGTTTGACTGGGGACGAGCAGGGGATCCTACCCCGACACCGCTGGCCTGCGACTTCTCTTGTTGGTACCTGCCTGATTCCGGGGACTCAGGTATTTTCCTTTTGCTGTCCTCCTGCGGCGCGGGCTTTGGCAGAGTTTTGCCGGAGTGACGCTGGTGCTGCAGTAAGAGGTAAAGAAATGAACAGGAGCAAGCAGGGAGAAAGACGACATCTTCTTGTGCAGGGCTTGTTATCGTTGCAAATGCGTTGCTTTCTACAACCCTGAGTTAGTGCGATCCTTTTGTCCTGCGGCCCGCGTACCCTGACAGGAGATTCGGACCAAGGCCAAGCTTATAGCTCGCGTACTTTTTTCAAATTCTGGTCTTTGGGCCCTTATTCTCCCCGCCCTACCCCCTTCCTACTTCGCTTACACGATGGTCTTGGAAGGTTGATGATTTTTTCATTTTTCCTTAATCTCACCACTTTAAATTCTCTTTTAAAACGTACTTAATTTATTTTTCCCTGTAGCTCCCACCTCTCCCTTAGACGTTCTCAAAGGCCCCTAATGCAGTTCCTTTATGAGACTTATCTCCTTCCCTCCTCCGGCGCCCTGTGCCATCCCAACCTCCCTGCAGGATCTTGCGCGTGTCTGCAGCCCTTCAGTCTCCTGGAAACCCGAGATTGCAAAGACAGTTTCAGTTGCGGTTGAAGGCTTGGCATCACGGTCCTAAGAGAACTGCCCTGTAGATTTACGGCTAATAATAGACATTTCTTTTTTTAGGCGAACTGTGAATTTGGTGAGCGGTTGTTTCCTGTTGTAAATGAAACTTAAGCGAACACAGTTGAAGAGCTGGAGTGTCGGAGTGTCTGTTGTGAGGCTGTATTCTTGTGGAGTGTGTGGGGGGAGTTGGGCTTTTTTGAAGCATAACACAATTAATTACTTTAGGATGACTTATTGAGAAAAGGCTGCAGAAAAGTTATCCTTTGAGGTCTCCCATTTATGCATTTTAAATGTAAATGAAGTCAGGATAATTGAGTTACATATGGCAAACCTTTTTTAAATAATGTTGCTGGATGGTGCAAGTTAAAACATAATTTCTGTTGTCTTAAGTACAATTTGGATATCATAGGTTTCTTTTTTGTCTTTTAGGAATAGAGTAAATGTGAATGAGGCCTATGTAAACATCCTTATGTTTTGGTTTCAGTTCTTTTGTGGTTGGTTGTTATTTTGAGTTTAGTTAGTCATTTTGGTGTTTAAATGAATCTGCCTAATTTGGTTTAGGTATATTTCAGTAGACCAAAAAAAGAAAAAAAAAGTTTTTTTTTTTTTTTTTTTTAAATTTAGGGACAGGGTAAGGGCTGGGGAGTTAAAACACAAGAGATGATGGTAGCAGTCGTCAGTGAAAAGGAATGTCTGTCTGGTTTTCCTATTTCAATGTAAGAAACTCATATTTATACTTTTAGTCATAAAACTCCAGGTCTCAGGACCCCAATTCAAACTAAACTGAGTAAGAGAATGATGTACACTTTAGAATGTACATATTAGAATGCTAGTTTATGTTGGAATAGAAGATAACCCTTTCCAGTGATCAGAATTTTCAGGTGGAAGAATCCAGTGCACTCGTTCCTGTATCCAAGAACTTGGGAAGCCAAGTTAGTAAGTGGAGGTTGTGTGGTAATCATGGAATCAAAGAAAAGGAACTTGGAACGTCTTGAATGGTGTACCATCATCAAAGTTATGGTAGAAGCTTTAGAATTACCCCTTCTCTTCATAGTGAATACTTTTCAAGGATTGTGGATACTTAAACCAACCAGTTATTGTGCCTTTCTCTTAGAATAAGGCAAAATGAGTCTTAATTTTGATCCTTTTTTCAGGGCTCTGTAGATCACTATGCTATAGATGGCAATTTATTTTATATCTGTTACATTTGATTTCCTTGGTGAAGACTTGGAAGATGCATTAGTCTCCATGGTGGATATTTAGGAAATGGGACCTTAATTAACATCATACATCTTATTAATTATCTTTAGGGGTTATTTTGTGGAAGGCAGATCGCATCCATTTAATGTATATTCGGTCTATTTCTTTTACAAAGAAAAATTTTAAAAAATCTTATTCTTGAATTCCAGGAATCCAGGGAATTGTAGAAATTGTGTATTGACTAGAAAAACCTTTTATGTTTAACCATAAATAGAGATAGGATAAAAAAATTTTTTTAATGTTTATTTATTTTTTGAGAGAGCATGCAAGAGTTTGGGCAGAGGGGGCAGAGAGATAGGGGAACAGAGGATCCCAAGTGGGCTCTGCACTGACAACAGAGAGCGTGATGCGGAGCTTGAACTCACAGACTGTGAGATCATGACCTGACCTGAAGTTGGACGTTTAACTGACTGAGCCACCCAGGCACCCCAGAGATAGGACAAAAATTTTTAAATCAAATTCCAAAATAGTGGAATACACTATGTGTTTAATAGTACACCTTTTAAAGTTGAAAGGCTGTAATTAAGAGTACGTTGAAAATACCAAATTCAGGTAAGACAAATTAAAAATACCAATATTTTTTAACAAGTTTAGTTAAATTAATGAATTATAGGAGTATTTGTGATACATTAATTTTTTGAGCTGAACTTAAGGTAAATAAAATTGTCCTAAAAACATCTCTTATTTTCACAGACATAAGATATTACTTGGTTGGATAAACCACTATGATTTTTTTTGTGTTCTTACTCAAATTTTACAGACATTAAGAAATATTGGAAATCAGTGTGAATTCTGTAAACTGTTAAGAGTTTTGTATAGTTTTAAGAAGTTATTGTGAATAAATGCTATGCAAATGAAGGATACAATTAACAGATCGTGATATGACTACCATTTATTGATTGTTGGCTATCTGTCATACAGGATGATAAGTACTTACTGGATATGGACTCATTTAATTTTCACAACAAGTTTTGGAAGCTACATCTATGTTTGTACTGTGGCAGTTGTATCCATTGGAAAGTAATTGAACAGAGAAAGAAAGTAAAACTCAAGCTATGTAGGTACATGGTAGAGCTTTGGAAAAGCTTTGGTGGGGGAAAGTGTTGAAATATAGGAAAAAATTAGATTTTTGTATTAATCATTCATATATTATATTTATTCATATACTTTAATTATATTATTAAATATATATTATATATTATATTTTTATTATGAATATATTCATATATTTTATTCATATATATTTATTCATATATTTATTATATATTTTATCTTGAAAATATTATATATATTTTAACCTTTTTTTAACAGTTCTGTACTGTTTAGTTTCTTATTTGAGCCAAAACTTAATAAGGTTAAGAAATTATGAGTCTGTTTTTGTATATGTGTAATTAAACAACATTTTCATTTCTTTAGGTTTATGTTTCAAAGCTGTTGTGCAGTTTGGACTGAGTCAAAAGTATAGTTTTAAACAACAATCAATTTTTGTTGTATTTCTGGTGCTAATCTGTATGAGGTAACAGGATCTCACATTCATTGCAACTAGTTTTATGTAACTTACAGCTTTTACTGGATGTAGAAAAGGCTTTGGGAGCTTCCTTTCTTTTGTATTATTTCTGACTTCATGATATAATGATTCATACTATAAGAGGCTTCTAATGTTACTTTTGTTTCTTCAGATATAATGAAAGCCAGGCCCAGAGAACAGGAAAATATGCCAACTTGTTCATAGGCTCACTGATAAAATAGTATGCCATCAGTAATTGAATTCTTGTGTGAGGAGAGTTGAACTGTGGGAAAGAAATTTAAGAAAATGACTGACAAAATATTATTTCATAAATCGTACTTGTTACAGCAAAATATATGTGTCTGGATTTTTTTTTTTTAACAATTCTTATTTCTCATCACTATTTGTTCTCCTTGTAGCAGTTAATTGCCTCCCAACTGATTTCAGCACAACTGTTTTGTAATTTAGGTGTCAGTTAAATAGTTACTAAACTCACAGTTTGACCTTTATTAGCTTTGTTTCGGAACCTGAAATTACGAAGCTGCTGCAGACTATGGAAAGTTTGGTTTTTATCTAACATTGTGTTTATATTGTGGATGTTTATGTAACAATGCTACTATTATATAAATAACAGAAGGGAATGATTGTTCCATAGATCCCTCTGTATTTCATTTTAAAACCTTGATGTACTTTTAAATATATATATGTGTGTATTTGTATGTGATCTATCTATTTTTGAGTTTCTATTCTGCCCTTTTTTAGTTTCTTGTTTGAGTTAAACTTTACTGAGATTAAGAAATTATGAGTTTATAAGTGAGGCTTTATAACCTGGTAGTGAAGAACTCTGGAGACAGCATACCAAGGTTTAAGTCTTGCCTGGGCCTAGTTTCTCTATGCCTCAGATTACTTTATAAAATAGGAATAATAACAATAGCACCTATCTCATGTTGTTATTCTGAGGATGAAAGGAGTTAATACATGTAAAAAGCTTAGAACAGTAACTGGCACACTGTGACAGTCAAAGGTATTCCAGTTGCTCTTTATAATTTTTTTTTAGTGTTTGCTTATATTAGAGAGAGAGAGAGAGTGTGCACTAGCAGGGGAGGGGCAGAGAGAGACAGAGACAGAATCTGAAGCAGGTTCCAGGCTCTGAGCTGTCAGCACAGAGCCCGATGCAGGGCTCGAACCCACGAACTGTGGGATTGTGACCTGAGCCGAAGTTGGACGCTTAACCAACTGAGCCACCCAGGCACCCCATTCCAGTTGCTCTTTATAGAATCATTTCATTTTCTCAGGAGTGGTAATAATTATAAATTGATTTAGTAAATATTTTGAGTAGGTCTACACTGTTCAGCTTTGAAATTTTTTTAATGTAATATGTAGAGAATGCTGTTTTAAGATTAGGAAAATGTTATAGTTCCTATAATGTCTCTTACTACTTGTATGATCTTTGTCAATTCATTTAAAATCTCTGCACGTCAGATTCTTCATCTCTAAGTCTTAGGCCAAGTTTAGTGCCTTACACATACATTTTTTTCTGTGCAAGATTTCAAAAACATGCAAAAATAAAATAATACACAAACCTTCATGTCTCTATCACCCAGCTTCAACAACAACATGTCAT